TTTCCCCCCATAAAAAGTCGACGACCTCCGCCGGGTATCTGAACCCGCGTACTAAGAGTCATGAGGTGGGAACGTTACCTCTAGACTACGGAGGCCGCTATATAACAAGTAACTATTGGGACACGAAAAATCTCACCCAGGATGTGCTGCGCTTTGAAGGGTTATAACACCGCACTACAACTCCTAATCCTTTGTATATTGATTTAATGGTATTGATGTTCAAAAAAATTCAATTAAATTCCTTCATTTAAGTGCTTGCCAAAAGCGAACACTGAACGTGTACATAACAAAACCTAGACATTGATTAATAATTACAAAAGGAGTTGGGCCCAAAAATTCGGTTATAGCATAAATTTACAGACTTTCTTCGTATGTTTCCAGCTTCTTAGAATCTGCTAAAGAAAAGTTACTCCCGCCAATAGACGCGTACTCAAGTTTCGCTATAATTAAGGTAATATACACGTAAGATACTTTTAGACTATCCAAAATTTAATATAAAACCACTTTTATACTATCCAAAAAAATTATGTATGATGAAATGAATTAGTTCTAAGAGTTTGTATGCCTGAGAATGTAAGTGGTGAACAAGACGATGAAAATGCAGTTTGCTACCTAACATAACCTCAAGACTTTTACACAATCGGTTCATTCGATTTATAGATCACCCAAAAAGTATCTACAATGGATACCGTTAAATTTACGAGTAAAAATCATATTTGTTTTGCATGTGTTAATTTTCATGTAATTTTCAATGTACCAGAGTCTATATTTCTAACTTATTAGCCAAGAGTAGAAATAAGAGAAAATGAATTTTGTTGCATAAAACATTAAAAAAATATTGAACAATACAAGCCCCGAATTTGAGTTTTTGTCTAACTCATGACAGCATGGGAAAAGATGAGGAAGATTTCACTAAAGTGCTGACAACAGGAAATCTAAATGATAAGAAACATTCGAACCAATTAATATAAAGAAGAGCGAGTCCAAAATTGCCTACTTTATATAACAAAGGATTATGAAGAAGTCTGTCTAAGGCTTGGCTTAAGCCGCGCCATAGCTCAAGCGGTTAGTCGCTGGCTTCCCACCGCGGCGGCCCGGGTTCGATCCCGGGTGTGGTCAAGTTGGATTTGTGGTTGACAAAGTGGCGCTGGGGCAGGTTTTCTCCGAGTACTTAGGTTGCCCTACAAATCTTTATTCAACCAATTGCTCCACAATCACCCTCACCTATCATCTGGGGCTGGTACAATAGGCCAGAAGTGGCCGCAGTACAAGGGATTTAGTCCCACCCCACTAGCAATAAAAAAAGGCATTGCTTCCGTCAAAATTAATTGAAAATCTTTTCCCTTGTGAAGTGACAGAAAATGTGATAAGAGTTTAAATAAGTAAGAAATTGTTTGCAGTAGACCCTGATTTAATAAAACCATGCCGAGATGGGTCAGGTTTAAATTTAAAATAAAGGAGAACTGATCATACGTTATACTATACTCTGAAACACTGGGTAAAGCGGTCGGGAAGTGAAGCTGACCACTCCAGCTAGTGCCGAAGTAAAGAAAATATGGATCTATACATACACTCCCGCATACGTCTTCATGGCGTAGTGCTTAATTAGTTAAGCACAGGGACAACTTTACCTTTACATTTTATATCACTTTGAATTACGGAAATAAGTGCGAATGTGTAACATAAAGGTGTAGTTGTCCCTGTATTGAACTAAGCATTAAATCATGAAGACTTGTGGGAAAGTGGAGGTATAGTTCCACGTATTTGGCCTAGACTCAGGCCACTGAATCTTTGTTAGATAAAATCAAAAACCGTAAAATATTGCCATCATGTAAAATTTTGCGACACCCACGCCAGGCTTATGAGCACACAAGTACATGTATTTTTATCCAGTAGAAAGTCCATGTGATTACGGCTTTCAGCACAATTATTCTGACAGTTTATGATTAGATATTTAATGAACAAAATAAATCAAACTCCGTGGCCTATAGTCCGCAAACTAACTATACCGACCGAGCGACCGCCACTTATAGGCGAAGTTAGTGCCAACTTTTGCGGATAGAGGGTGTCACGTGGTCGGCGCAACGGCTCCCCACGGTCGTGAATCTCGGTTTTCTAGACCGGAGCTGCTATTTCCTTGAAAAGCCTCCTCATTTATCCTCAAGAGGCTGAGTGGACTCCGTTCCAGACCCATTACTTCTCAGAAAATCTGGAAGCGCCGGGAATCGAACCCGGGACCTCTGGATCTATAGCCAGGAACTCTGACCACTAAGCCACAGAGACGATGAAAGATTTGTATAGAAATAAATAGAACTAAATAAGAGATAAAATATTAGGTTCGGCTGTATCGGCATATTCTGAACAGACACTTCACTTGATATCTCCAATTTCCCTGCCTACTAATTCCCGGAAGTATACTTTGGATAGAAGAATATTTCAGGGAATTTGTATACATAATATCGCCCACATGTGTATGGGCATGCTTTGCGAGAGACAGATTTAAGTTAGTTTCTTTCAGAGTCGATACGCCTACGAACATTGTAATCATTCTCCTATCCACTCTCTTGGCAAGTTAGTTCACAAAATGAATTTTCCCCTACGCAAAATCTGATCTGGAATACCAACAACCGAGGTATAATCTGTACAAAGTTATGCTGAAGATTTAGAAGCCACTTTGTGTAATGGGCCTCCTACATATGACGATAGATGAATGAATTTAAAATAAAGCCACATTTCACTGCACTGGCAAAGATATACAGGTTATCACATAAATGCTCATTACCACTTCTCTTATTCACAGATAAAAGGAATCTAAGAAAATTGTGTGACTTATTTAGGGGTTTTGAATCTTGTATCATTATTAAGGCTCTAGCAGCATGAAAATTTATATTCTAGTGGCGCTACGAACTCAAGTTTTTTTTTCCTAATTAGGGTTTACTAATCTTTACTGTAACTATTTCTTTTTACAGATCTTCAGGTACTTGGAGTCACAGAAATATATTCTGAAGTACATTTATGTTGGTGGAGTGAAAGTTATGAGAGCTTCAGGAAGAATGACTTAGAGTTAAATACCTTAAAGCAAATGGTAGAACTAACATTTATGTTTTAACTGTTTCTTCAAAGAGAAAGCATGAAGAACGCTGCGAGATCAGGAACAGATTACAAATTTCTTATGATATATATAAAGTTCCATCATTTCACACTGCACATTTTTCGCAATTCTATAATTATTACAGAATAACCAACGCGCCAATATATATAGGAATTTTTCGCTTAGTGGGGAGTGGAGTCCAGCTGGGTTCACTCAGCATGTCGGCCACTAATTGGCCTATTGTACCTGCCCCGGGTGTTTACGGTGATGGATAATTTGGTGGAATGAAAATTGGCAGGGGTGATCGAAGTACTTGGAGAAAACCCGCCCCAGTGTGACTTTGTCCACCACAAATCCTACTTGAACAGACCCGAGCTCGAACCCGGGCCACCACGGTGGAAAGCCAGCGACTAACCGCTTGAGCTATGGCCTGGCCATGATATCTAAAATAAAAGAAACTGCAGATATTTGCAGTCTTTGAGAGTCTTTGAGCAAAGTTGATGTCTGTTCAAGAGGACATCATTTGAATTCAGAGATGTTTACGTTATTAATCGAAGCTATATCAAATACAGGAAATATTATTATTATAAACTTTCGTCATTTGAATGTTTTCCATACAATTCCAATTGAGATTTTCCCTAAAAAAAACTGATGGATAAGCCAGGGTCAAACATTTTGTCTCTTTTGTCATTATGAAACAGAACCCCTATCCTCTGTCTGTAAAATAGCGGTGAGGAGAGCAAACGTTTTACTCGAAACTCATTACAATTTAAATTAAGTATTCATTTATAACATTTGAAGCTATCATATCTGCTGATTATCATATAATTTAAATGAATTTTCTTCTTTATTTCGTTAAAGACACTAATGCAGGTGCATTACATACTTGCATTATTTAAAATATAAGCTTTCTATTGCGCAGAATTTCTATTAGCGGTAGCCCTAGGTAAATTTTACTGAATGCATATGTGTTAGTTCATGTTGGTTTATATGATTGAGGGAAGTATAAA